TTATCAGGAAACTGTTTAAAAAATGTTCAATTCCGTTTTTTCTTGGAAATCTACCTCAATGGTTAGACTGTCAGGAAGAGAACATATTCAGACTAAGGACTATGCTTTGAGAAGCCTTGAAAGAGGTGTTTCCTCTGCAAAATAGGACATGCAGTTACACTACAAGTAGTATAGGGTTGGTTTAGTGCTAGCCGTCCTCATCTTAAAGTCGACAGGTGTATGGACAGGGACTAGAGATAGGCATAGACCACTGATTTGGCAGTTCGTGATGGTTCATTTATTGACTGAACAGGTGTTTGGTGCTTCAGAGCCCTGCCTCCTCTGGCAGGCAACCACTTCAAGGCAGCACCCACCTTCCTTGCCTCACCTCCTCTGTGTGCTGCCTCTGAGCAGGTGCCTACTGGAAGAGGTGGGGGTTTGAAGCACTGAACACTTTTACAGCTGATAAACAAACCAGCATCAACCAGCAGTTCTCTAATAGAGACTCTGTCTATGCACCTGTGGCTTACTCTTTTCCTTTTTTAAAACCATGGTTAAGAGTTTGGAAAATTTAGTGTTTTTGGATTTTTGCTTCCCAAAGCCCCTGGCCTTGTTGGCTGAGAATTGTATGAGTTGTAGTCCAACCCCCCCCCCCTTTCAAAGCTTGGATGGTGAGAACAACAGTATTGCGTCTGCAAGCATTCAAAACATCTTCCACAGTTCTTGCAGACTTTTTTAAGCTATAGCTTTTTTATTTTATTTTACTGCAACCATAAGAGAAAGGTTGACATGGTTCATGTGAGTAAATGTGGTCTTTCCTATGTTTGGTAATAGGCTTTGACAAGCTATTTAAAGTACTGAAAGTTTTTTACGTCTGATGTTTGGAGGCTCTTTGCAGTTCCGCTAAGTATAGCATTTTCCTTTTAAAAAAACACAGCTTTCCCTCGGGTCTTTGAAGTACAGAATGTTATCTCCAAGGCATCAGTGAAATAATGCTTTACATTTCTGCATCTGGACATGTGATGATCTGCATTGTACTCTACACACGTAGTGGATTTATTAGGCCTTCTTTTCTTTCTGTTCTATTTTACTTGACTAGAGTAGGAGTTTACATCCTATGCATGTAATTTTAATACTGTTAGCAAGGTAGCTAAAGAAACCACACTGGTTCCTTTTCAAAAGATCAACTTTATATAAGAATAATATTTAAGTTCAACTAAAATGACTAGAGAGGTCACTACTTAATACCATTCTTTACATATTTCTGTTGGAGCAAATTTGCAGCATTTAGCAGAGTTTTGTGCCAGTTCAGGCAGTCCAGCTGAATAACATATACAGTCAGCTTCTTCCCAACACCACATACAGTATATTTACAATATGTACAGAAGTTCTATCAGTACAAACTGGCAGCATGACATTCGTCAGAAGAGTTCCTACATCTTCTTCACATGTCCACACATGTATACAGGTGTACATTTACATATAGCCAATCAGTAAGGACATTGCATCAGCCCAAACACTACTTCATTTTAATACACATCCAGCATGATTCAGCATTTCGCTCACCTGTCCAATATGGCTGCTGCTCATCATAGGCCTGGTTCTGCCTCAGCGTGGAAATTATCCTTGACACCGCTCCTAATTTACAGCTGAGCAGAACGCACTCCCAAATCTTTAGCTAGTTCTCTGTGTCTCTGCACACTCAGTGGTTTAGTTAGAATGTCTGCTACGTTCTTCTCTGTTTCACAATACTGCAGTTGAATTAGTTTTTCTTCTACTGCCTCTCTAACATTGTGATATTTAATATCAATGTGTTTGCTTCTGCTTCTCATTTTATCTGTGGTTGCCATCTGTATACATGTAGTGTTGTCCTCAAACACTGTTATGGCCTGATCCACTTTAATTTTCAGATCTATAAGGACTTGCTTATATCATACCGGCTCTGAACACACTTCTGACAGAGCAGTAAACTCTGTCTCAGCAGTGGATGTGGCAACAGAACCTTGCTTCCTTGATTTCCATCCCACCAATGTCTCAGCAAACCTTATTGTGAAATCTGATACTGATTTTCTGTTAGTCACGTTGTTGGCCCAATCACTATCTACATAGTCCATCATGGTCCATGATTGTGTCTGTGCAAGTTTGGTTTTGAGCTGATACCTTACAATTGCAAGTGAAGACTGTTATGTCGAGACTAGTGAGATCCTGGGACGTGGTGGTGCTGCGGGCTAAACCGCAGAAGCCTGTGCTGCAGGGTCAGAAGACCAGCAGTCGTAAGATCGAATCCACGTGACGGAGTGAGTGCCCATCGCTTGTCCCAGCTCCCGCCAACCTAGCGGTTCGAAAGCATGCAAATGCAAGTAGATAAATAGGGACCACTTCGGTGGGACGGTAACAGCGTTCTGTGTCTAGGTCTCACTGGCCATGTGACCACGGAAGATTGTCTTCGGACAAAAACGCTGGCTCTATGGCTTGGAAACGGGGATGAGCACCGCCCCCTAGAGTCGAACACGACTGGTCAAATTGTCAAGGGGAACCTTTACCTTTACCTTTAGTGAGATCCTGACCCTAGCAGATTGGTAACATTTCTGTAAATCTTCCTTCAAGAAGTTACCCAGTTTTAATGTACATTTTCTGTGTGTATTCATTTCAAAAAACCATTTCAGAAGCATTCCAGTGAAGGAATTTTTTAAATGAAAGAACTATAGCTAGACATGATTAGGCACACTCTGGCGCAGTGGTTAAACCGCTGTTCTGCAGCTAAAACTGTGCTCATGACCCAGGGTTCAATCCCAGGTAGCCGGCTCAAGGTTGACTCAGCCTTCTATCCTTCCGAGGTCGGTAAAATGAGTACCCAGCTCGCGGGGGGGGGGCAATGTGTAGCTTGCATAATTAACTTGCAAACTGCCCAGAGTGTGCTTGAAGCACTATGGGAAGGTATATAAGCAGCATGCTTTGCTTTGCTTTATATGGAAGTTGTGATAAATATAGTTGAGGAAGCAGAGCAGTGGTCCACTACACAAGAAGTTACAGAGCTTGTTTTAAGCAATATTCACTACCCCCTGGTCCAAGCGAGGAGCCTCATTTTGAAGGTGGCAGGCTCCACTGCAGCAAACTAGAGATGGCATGAAAACTCAGTGGTTGCTTCAAACAGGAACTGGCTCCCATCTGCTGTTGTCATGATTGAAAAGTTTCTGTTGTGTGTGGAATATATTACACTGTGAATTCACCCAAGTCAAAGCAAAGATGGTGGAACCTTTTCTCTTCCAGGTCCTGAGAGGAAGCATAGTTGAGACCATGTTGAGTCCTGCCATGGTGGAAGCTGTTTAAGAGAAGGAAGCCAGGGAAATAAACGTGTCACAAAACTAGAAACTTTTCTGAGTGTGATATAGCTTTTATTGTATCAAACTAGGACATGTCAGACTGGGATAGGGAGACTTGAGTTCAGTTATCCACTCAGCCATGTGACCCACAGGTTGGCATTGTGTAGATCTCAATTTAGCTGTCTCATGAAGTTGTTGAGAAGGTAAAATGTCAGAGTGAAGACCATGTGTCACATCTTGAATACCTTAGAATAGACATGGAAATAAAGCTAGCAAGAAGGAATGTGGGGCAGATACTGTAACAAAAGAGCATAGCTTTATAAATTGATTTTAATAACATCATTACTGAAGCCAGTAAGATTTTGAAAATAAAACTGGGCTGGGAAATACTTTTTGGTTATGGTTTTATTTTTTGAAGGAAGTTACCTTTTTCCTAGCAACCTTGTTCAATGAATGGGACATGTAGATTTGTCATTTTCACAAAAGAAATGTGTTATCTGGAAAGCTGAATATAAAATTCCTCTGCTTAGGGTACTTTCTAATGCCATGAAGATCTTTCTTTTTTGTTGTGTTTACTTGAGCTACAGAAATGGTATGGATTATAGAGGCATTTTATGAAATGCTTGTCATGATAGTCTTCATCATTAGTATGTATGGACTACTTCCACTAAAATATTTCTGTGCTAGAGTTCTCCTTATCTGTTGAATAATAAATCTCTCACCTAATTTGAAAAGGTGTCAACAGATTAATTACGGCTCAGCACGAATCAGCTTTCTCACTATGATGTAGTCTGTTTGGTCAGTGTAAATCATGGCATTGCATCCTGCTAACATAAGAAAATGCCATTACAGGGTTACAGTTGGGGGATAGGGGTCAGGCAATTGAAGAGAACACTTAATAGGAAAGTTTGGTTTTGTGAGGAGATTAAGATGGTATTAAGGTGACATCAGATATTCAGATTGAAAATTCAAGAACAGGGCAGCAAGGAAGAAGGGGTTCAGGCAGTTAAGAGAACAGAGATTTTGAGGCAGGGGATTTGGAATAGCAGTTTTGGTGCTAAACGCGACATAAAGCCATTCACATGATTGGCACAAATAGAAGCACTGACCACTGGACAAATACTAGCTGTAGAGACCCTCATGGTTCAGACGGATACTATAGAATGCTGGAAAGAGTGAGCAGCTGCTGTTAGCACCATCATGTCCTGATCAGCAGGACAAGTCTACAAAGTACTTTTATAAGGTATTATAATGCGTTGACACACTTGGGAATTGTATGAATAACATCTTATCTCGTTCACAGAGGAAGAAATGTTATGTTTGGACACTGCAGGTCAGAGAATGCTTCAGGTGACATGGCTAGTGGCTAAGCTATTATGGGAATTACAAATTACCCCCAAAGGAACATTTTGCATCTCTCCATGAGTTTGATCCTTAGGGAGGACATATTGCAAAAAAAAGAGAGAAAGGTAAAATGAACAAGGCAGTGGTGAGCTTTAAAAATAAGAACAGGGAACCTGCACCAGCCCCAGAAGTTGTACGGAACATAGGGTAGAGATTTGAGGACAGACATTATGAACTCGATTCATAGATGTTGTCTGCAGAAAACTGAGGATGAAATGCCATTTAACAATTTGTTTATGTTTTAAAACAGGTGTTATGCAATCAGCAAATAATTTCACTAGTTTTCCTTTACAGATCACTCATGGTGAACCCCAGAAGTCATGCTCCAAGCCTGTAGCAGAAAAGGTTACAGATAGTTGCCAACAGATCTGTCAGTGTAGACCACCTCCCTTACCACCTCCACCACCTCCTCCACCACCACCAAGGTTGCTTGGGGTCTCACGTAAGTAGAGACTGCTACCTTTTCTCTTTGTGTCCAAAATGGCGGTTGACAGATTACGAGTGACAGAGTGTAACTGGAGGGGGGGGAGCTAATTTTACTGAACTTGCATTTTTCTAATGGATGATTGGAAAGTATTCTAACTAAAGATGAAAAATATTTTGGCTCGTTGAACAGGGATTTCTTCCAAGGAGCCAGACAAATTCGTCTTGTTCTAAACCATATGGTTCTTTTCTCAAAGCATCTCATTAGCATCAGAGCTAATCATTCATTCATTTCCAATGTTGTCTTATGATTTGCATTAACATGTGCTAAATATTTCATGATACATCATTTAGATGGGTTTGTTTTCACTAGACACATTCAAACAAATTCACTTCCACACACAACTGATCATATATGTGCCTGCATGTACACATATGGATGAGTACATGCTGAATATCTGAGAAAGAGAAAGAACAATATTGCCATGAACTTTGTCCCATTTAGTTTAGCTCTGTGTAAATAACTCTGCTCGTCTGGGCTGGCTCCCAGAATCCTCCACTCTGAGCTGATATTCCTGGAATTGTAATCCAAAAAAGTAATTTAAAGGGGTGTGTGTGTGGGAAACACCCTGAAGAATATTACAGATAAAGCACCATGCATCTGCAGACCTGGAAACTGTTGCCATATTTAATTCGTTCATAAAAGAATTCCTTACTGTTTTTTCTGGGGCTGAATTGAAATGCCCTCCGTTAGGATTGGTGATGCTGAGGGATGCAGTGCTGTCATGAAACCGGTAAGAGTGAGGGCTGTGTTTCCTGCCTGCCCACAGTATAGACCTTCTGGGCAGGAATTAAAATGGTGGAAACTCCAGTGAGCATTATTCCTCCCAGAGGCTGGAAAATTTACCGTTTTAGACAATAACTTATAGAATCCTCTGGGAGATCCTAGATCTGTGGCCCCAAAAGTCACTCTTCTTGCCTTCAGGGCTATCAAACACGTGGCTGCAAAGGACGGAGAGGACAGATTTAACCCTTTTTGTTGTTGTTGTTGCCAGCTCATTCATTTCAGTGATTTTTCACATTCAACTTAACAGCACAGCCACAAAGAATAAGAAACATGCACATATTCTCTAATGATGGATGAAGGTATATGCCCTGTTCAAGATGGAATGAAACAAACCATATAAACTGTGTGAGTCAGATACCATTTGGGTAAACTGTATAGTGGAGTTGCCAGGCATTCAAGAGCTCTGTGTGTGCTTAACTGGTTAGGCAGCTGGAGCTGCTTGCTATCATGAATGTGGAAGCATTGTCCTAATAATTGGTGTCATTAATAATAATTGCCAAAGCATTTGATCTCAATTTATTGTGTCATCACCGAGGTCTGTAGGGTGTTTTCTCACTGCACAGTGGGAGAGGTGCCTACTAGGTCAGAAGCGCAGCCAAATAAAAAATTAAAGGCTTTCACAAGAAAGCCTTGTATTGTAACAGCAAATTGCCCAGTTGCCTGCTTAGTCACTTTGTCAGAGCGTATACCATTTATACCTCCCAATTTTGACAGGAATATGACTTTTTAAATCCTTATATCACTATATGTGCAGAAAATAATTTATTTTATGGCACCCATTGCCAATTTCTTATGCCAGTTCTCATCTCCTGGTGTGAAAACCCTATTTGTCTTACTTTCAATTTTTTTAAAAAATAGGACCCCTTCTTTTTCTAAATGTACTCTACAAGGGGCTGCCTTTGAAGTATAAAATTCAGTAGCAAGAGTATTTTTCCCTTGTATGTGGTATTAGACCAAACCATGATCAAGGTTACTGTCTGTCACTTTACGTTCAGTGAAAATTTAAGGTGCTGGTGGTCCTCACACCCTAGACCAGGGATGCACAATATTTTTGACCTCAAAGGCCGCAGGTCATGCTAGTACAGAAGCTGCACATAACATGCACATACATGTGAATGCAGTAGGCACCAGCCATCCTGTCACTGGGAGGAAGTGGATGAGGATTGCTTGGGAAGTGAGTGGAGGTCCTTCTCTCTGTCCTCTTTCCTAGCAGTCTTGATACAAATACCGTATTTTTCCATGTATACGACTATTGTCTAAAGTCTTTAGACTAAAATTGAGGGTTGTCTTATACATAGAAGTAAGCTGAGGAGAGAAAAAAACAAGTGGAGGGGAAAGCAGGGATCAAAGTGATCCTGCAGGGCTTTGATCCCTGTTTTCCCCTCCACTTGCTAAGCCTTAGCAAAAGGAAAGCAGGGATCAAAGCGCTGCAGGATCACTTTGATCCTTGCTTTCCCCTCTGCTTACTAAATCCCATTGGGCTTAGCAAAAGGAGGGGGAAAGGCTCAAAGCAATCCCATGGCTGTATAAGGGGGAAAGGGAACAAAACAATCATACAGTCACGGGATAGCTTTGATCCTTTCCCCCCTCCTTTTGCTAAGCCCCATGGGGCTTAACATGAAGGGTGAAAGCAGGGATCAAAGCGATCCTGCAGTGGATAATTAACAGTACCTGGGGAATTGAACAAAGGAACTCATAGCTTCCCTGAGAGGCTACCCTTTCCCCCTACACTTGCTAAGCCCCACTAGATTTCCTAATTTTGGGTTAGAAAAGCACTGTAGTCAGAATTAGTGGTCTCTATGAAATCAGTGGATAATTAACAGTACCTGGGGAATTGAACAAAGGAACTCATAGCTTCCCTGAGAGGCTACCAAGTCATGATGGATGCATGCATGTGGCCCTTGGGCCATAGATCTCTCTTTTGCTTAGCTTAGACAGTCTGTTAAAACATCTTTGTTATCATATGGTTTTAAAATTTTCTCTGGTTTAAAAGCTCCTTCATTCTTTAACGGTGCAGTGTGCTTTGTATTTTGTATTTTCTGAATTATTTTAATATCAGGAAAGAGCATCTATGATTTTTGCATTGTTTGAACAGTTCTGGACAATACCTGTTAATAGAACAGAAGCATTTTGAAAATTATTGCATACTTTGGTCCATCAAGGTCAGGTGTCTAGCATAGATACATGGCTGGTGGACCAGATGTGTGGCTACTCTGAGGAAAGAGCATCTATGATTTTTGCATTGTTTGAACAGTTCTGGACAATACCTGTTAATAGAACAGAAGCATTTTGAAAATTATTGCATACTTTGGTCCATCAAGGTCAGGTGTCTAGATGTGTGGCTACTCTATGGGCTTGAGAATGGCATGAAAATCATATTTGAGCATTTCAGAGAATCAGTAGAACCCAGTTTGGACGACTATGTCAATTAATCTTATCAGGGACAAGCCTTGTCCAAAGTGATTTGTATGTGGCCTTGCAGACTGCTCAGGCTGTTAGCAAAGCAGAGATAACTATTTGCTGGAATGCATTCGTTTTTAAGATGCCACAAAACCCGTTATTGTTTTATCTGCTGGAGAAGCAGTGAGATTGTGGGCCACTGCTCTGTATGTAGCTTTACTATCATAGCCTCTTTCTTATAGAAGGTTCACAAATTAATCTCTCAAATTATAGGGCAAACTATCCATAGTTGGGGGAGGGGGGTCTGTTTATATATGAAAAGAAAATCTTAAAGCACCGAACATAGAGTAGGATGCTTCTGGCACAGCAAAACTAGAGATCTCCTCTCTTCAGAAGTCGAGGCACTATATAAACAGAAGTGGATTGACAGAATCTAGATACCAGCTCTGTAAGACAGTCCTACCTATAATGTAAGATATTTATAACATAGGGGACAATAAGGCATGCCTTTTATTATGTGTTCATTTGCAGATTTGACCGCCTTCAGTCCTTCTGGAGTGCAAGTGAAATTATCTTATGCATTTTTGAGCATCAGATAGTTGTATAGCAGAAATGCTTGCACTTTTCTCTTCGCTGCAACTGCTCTGATTTATTCCAGTTGGCAGCATTCTTTGTATCTGTTCCTTAAGAGTTCTGTTTTCTATTGTTTACTTTTATTTCTCATCTACATTATGCTGCTCGTTCCTTTCAAGGACCTTCGTTTGGCAATGTTGTATGAGTGTGCAGCTGTATCCTAAAAATACTCTGATAAACAGAAATGCTTTTTGAAAATATTTTGAAGATTTAAACTGTAAGCCCTCTTGGAACTCCTTCTGTGCTGAAAGGGAATTCAGAAATACTTTTATAAATAAATAAAGTTAAAGGCTACAAAAAGGCTTTAACAAACCTATTGAGGAAGATATGTTGAAGGACTGCTACTGCAGAGAATGAAAGAAGCAGATCCGTCCTTTTGGAAAAAAAGGATTACCTTCTGTTTTAAGTTTTTCTTGTTTCTTTTTGTGCATTTTGCCAAGGAGTATTTTTCTGTATCTATGTCACACAACAGGGTGTAAAACAAGGAACAAGTGACAGTATTTATTTGTCAAGGATGCTGTATATTGATACCGTAGCTTTGAAAACTGAAATTAGGTTAGTGCCGGGAAGGAAACTTTGTAACATCCCAAAGATGGAAGACAGAAGGTTTCCACACATGTAGACCTTCCCTTTTCCTTTTATTTCTAAAATTCCAGACTCTTTCCAGTATGTTTAGTGCATACAGAGAGCTACCTGCAAGCAGAAAGTGCTTCTGCCTACTAGGGGTCATGTTGTGATGTGTTTTCATCTTATGGCGGCCCTATGAAGTAATAACCTAGAAACTCACTCTCTTAGTTTCCAGTTAGAACTTACTGTAAGAGTAACACAGCCTTGGTCATGCAAAGCTGTGTGAGCCGTATGGGTTATCACCCAATAAAATAAATCGTAGGGCTCTATCACACATGCTAAAAGAATTGTTTCATTTGCGCCCCCTCCAGGAATCAATACATTTTTACATGCAGGCATGTAGTATATACTGCTGGGCTTATTCACATGGCTGTCAGTTGAGTTGGTACATTTCCTGCTATTTGTGCCAGTTCTGTAGGCTACATGTACCATCTCATATAAATGTATTCATTTTCCATCCTGTCTTTGGGTACCCGCTACCCTAAATAGTGTATGGGATTTGCCATCCTGTT